GCAAAAATCCCAGAACCACACGGGGAGACCTAGTCAATGACCTGCAGAGAGCTGGGACCAAACTAACAAAGGCTACCATCAGTAACACACTACGCCGCCAGGGACTCAAATCCTGCATTGCCAGACGTGTCCCCCTGCTTAAGCCAGTACATGTCCAGGCCCGTCTGAAGTTAGCTCGAGAGCATTTAGATGATCCAGAAAAGAATTGGGAGAATGTCATATGGTCAGATGAAACCAAAATAGAACTTTTTGGTAAAAACTCAACTACACGTGTTTGGAGGAGAAAGAATGCTGAGTTGCATCCAAAGAACACCATACCTACTGTGAAACATGGGGGTGGAAACATCATGCTTTGGGGCTGTTTTTCTGCAAAGGGACCAGGACGACTGATCCGTGTAAAGGAAAGAATGAATGGGGCCATGTATCGTGACATTTTGAGTGACAACCTCCTTCCATCAGCAAGTGCATTGAAGATGAAATGTGGATGGGTTCTTTCAGCATGACAATGATCCCAAACACACCGCCCGGGCAACGAAGGAGTGGCTTCGTAAGAAGCATTTCAGGTCCTGGAGTGGCCTAGCCAGTCTCCAGATCTCAACCCCATGTGATTTTCTGGATTTATTTTTCTCATTTTGTCTCTCATAGTTGAGGTATACCTCGGATGAAAATTACAGGCCTCTCTCATCTTTTTAAGTGGGAGAACTTGCACAATTGGTGGCTGACTAAATACTTTTTTGCCCCACTGTATAGGCTGTCTTGAACACTATCATCAGAGTAACGTGGTCTAATCAATAAATAAAGATTCTGCCGATAACACAAAAGCACATGGCTACTTAACATGCAGAATGACGTTGTGTGTGCTTGTGTGTGGCCATGTGCTTTCTGGGGCTCAATCTTTATTGATAGAATTTAAACATTCAATATAATTGTAGTGTCCCCGGCTGAATGATGGTCGGACTCTCTAACCGATGGTACCTGTTTATTGCACACCCTTGCTTTTATACAATCATTACCAACGAAGGAGCTTGTGCCCTTATCAGCCAGCTGCTAAAAACCAAATGCAACTATTTAGTATATGTTAATTTATTCATCATCTATCCGTCATTATACATGTGTGTTTACACTGCTCCGTTGTCCATTGACTTCCGGTAAAAGTTCCTTCAAAAATAAGAGTCCCAATCTTATTACTATCAAAATAAAAGTGCAAAACGAAAACTTTACCATAAGAAAATATTGGCATACAAATATAATCACTTCTCTAAAAGGTAACTCATTTTAAATATAGTTAGAAATATTAAAGGTAATTTACAATGATAATAATATTAATAAGCTTTATATTTGTATAGCACCTTTTATGCACGAATTGTAGCCAAACTTGCTTCACAGCAGTTCAATAGACAGATTAGTATAACATGACAGGATAAAAGCAATGTAGAGGAGATACAGCTACATTTCAACACATATATCCACGAAGATTAATACATGAAGACTTGTGACTCTGACTTGGGTGACTCGGACTCAAACTCGAACAAAGGTAATGATGACTCGGACTCGACTCGGACACTCCTTGGGTGACTCGGACTTGGACTCTGACACAGGTAATGATGACTCGGACTCGACTCGGACACTCCTTGGGTGACTCGGACTTGGACTTGGACTCGACTCCGACTCTCCCTAGTTGACTTGGACTCAAAAAGTGGGGATATATGAGGCTTCCTGCTGCTCCATTTGTCTCTGTCATGGGAAGAGAAGCAAGGTCTGGACACTAGGGCTGTCCCGAATACCATTTTTCGGGCTCCGGATATTCGGTAGTAATCAGCAGCGAATATTCGGCCCGCGGAGGGGGCATAGTAATCAGCAGCGAACCGCTTCAACACGTGTATTTCGGTTTATTCACGGCATTCAATTTGTTATTCTACAGTATTGTTGTTTTATAGTTATTAACCCAATTTGTGTTCTTTTGAAATTGAAAAGGATATCGCATTGTGTTTGTTACTTTCGTTGCAGTTGTATGCAGTTGGCTTCCTATTTATGGACATGCTTTTATTTTGAAGGAGAGGTAGCACTGTTCACAGGAAGTTGTTGTTGCTTTGGAAACAACTTGACGGAGATTAACGGAGAAAAGTAATATCTACATATAAAGACGGAGAAAGTAAACGATAAGGTTTATGGTTAAGTGTTAGCACCCCCATAACAAGCTCTTACGTTGATATTGGAGATTTCAATAAATTCAATTTTGAAAAAAAAACGGAACAAAACAAAACGAATATCCGAATAACGAAATTGAAACCCGAATAGTACTCCAACGAACGAATATTCGGATATTCGATTATACGGGTACAGCCCTACTGGACGCATCTCTCTGGGGTTCAGCCTCACAGTCAAATGGCCCTGCTGCAACATGTTTGTCATTTTATTTTATCCCAGACTCTGAGGACTGCTTTTTACTAAAGTCTTCTTTAATTAAATGCCACTTTTGATTTGTATATTTTTTATGAATATGTTTTCAGATTTGGGATTCAGCTTGTTTAACCTTCAGAAATAATTTCAATACAAATATACATAGTTGTAACCATTTAACATCAGACAATTTGTCAACAAAACACCGCAATAGCCACATCTACTGCCTCTAAGCCACATTTTCATTGAATATTTGTTCACTGTTTTAAGCTTAACAAAATGTATTTTGTTAAAATAACTAAATAAAGCCCCAGTAGGACTATTTTATTAAACTAATTTGATATCATTCTATCTTCTATTGATCCAAACAGACACACCAAGCATTACAGCCAAGCTGATCAATGAGCAGAAGGAGGACAAGGAGAAGAAGAACCATGAGGAGAAGGAGAAGATGAAAGCAGACAGCGGCTTCCAGGACAACTACAGTGTGGTCGTGGCCTCAGGTACTGTTGTGTGTTTCAAATACACTCCTCTGACAACAGAACACCTCTGAGTCTTACCCCGCAGACAACATCAAAATTAGATTAATAAAGGGAAATGTGTATATTATTCACCCACAAATAGAAAGCACCAAATAGATGGATGAATAGTAGAGCATCTGCAACAATGGAAAAATATCTACGATAAGATAGGATGGTCACAGTGTGTGTGTGTGTGTATGTTTTATCTATCCTAGGATCAGTTTCAGAGTCTAATAAGCACATGGCAGAGTTTTGACATGTATAATACTGGTATAATAGATAAGTCCTTGGTTGCTTTAAACTTCTGTATTTTGATCCAAAATAAATATGAACGTGTATTTCATTCGATGAAAACAAGGCACAGTCCAGTCCTGTCTCTATGTTCTCTGTGTCCGTATTCAGGCTTGAAGTCCCAGTCCAAGCGAGCTCTTTCAACACCCCCCAGACCTCCATCCAGGAGGGGTCGCGTGATGAGTGACAAGTTGACTGCTTCGTCCGGAGTGGACCCCTCAGCCAAAACCATCAGTGTGCCTGTCTTCCACCTCTACCACAAGCTGCTTCCAGGTACTGCAAACAGGGCAGGGTTCACATGCTCACTCACATCTGATGACATTCAAGTGTTTGAGTCTGAAACTGATCATCACGTATTAACGACGAGTGTTTGCCTTTTCCCTGTGCTCCCCTCAGGTCAGCCCCTCCCATCTGAGATGACTCTGGCCCAGCTCCTGACTCTCCTGTATGACCGCAAACTTCCACAGGGCTACCAGTCCATCAACCTGACCGTCAAACTGGGCTCCAAGGTCATCTCCGACCCAGGCCTCTCAAAAACAGACTCCTTCAAGAGGCTGCGCACGGAGAAAGGTACCAACAACAGCTCTAATGTTCATTCAACATTCATTTCTATTATTTCTGTTTCATACCAACATTTTGCCAATCCCATGTGGGAATTCAAGGCCACACTATTGACATATTCCGGTGAATCTGCAGATCTGCTCAGGCACCTTTTGTCTGTTTACCATGTCCTGCCCACTCTCCATAGTTCACATTATGGTCTGTTTGTGATTGATGGTTGTGTAATTCAGTACCATAGATGTTCTAATTTGAAGGACAAAATGGTTTGTTTTGTAAGTGTGTTTCTTTCCCCCCTCGAATGCACATGTGGAAGTCACGACGGCTCTTATGTACTGTTAAGTGTTCCATTAAGCCACACATTAAGCCAGCAACCAAGAGAAATCAATTTTCTCTTCTGTTTTTTGTCTTTCTTATCATATCGCCATGACTTTCAAAACTTGTAAAAAAAAAAAAAAGGAAATCCAAACCCTATCTGTGATTAAGGGATTACTCTCAACATCTGAACTGGCGGCTAGCAGTGCTGACGGCACAAAAGATCAGATCTTGCAGCTAACATTTTAGAGATAACAGAGTTCACATCAGGGGAGCTGGACTGTGGGTGTTAGCTCTCAGCCGTTTGAGCCCAGTGTGGTGACCATCAGCTATGGAGTGAGACTCACATGCAAATACAGCATGGCTGGCTACCTTAGGTATCAATTAATAATGTTCAGATTCTTTCTTGATTTTACATTTCATATTCTTGTTAACATTATTTGCATTTTAAAAACTCTCCCACCTTGTTAAATAGGCTTTGGCACTACTGCCTTTTAATGTGGTCATGCCAAAAAAGCCTTTTTGAATTTGAGAGGGTGAGAGAGGTCCAGCAAAGTGTTGGGTAGAAAAACACATCTAGAAAGTTGTGCCGAGCAATGAATCATCTGCCAGATTTCTCCTCTGTAAGAGATTATGAGTGGCTTTTAAGGGATGACCTATCAATAGACCAGAGTTTTATGTTATCATAAAACGGCAAGAATGTGCTTCTACAATAAACTGGTAGAGGGTAAGCATTAGTAGAGGGGGGTGTGGTGTGTCTTGCTTTCCACCCTTTGTTTCATTTTGAGCGTCTGACTTTGTCCTCACAACATGTGTAAACAAGGACATTAGGACGGTGTTTGCAGACATTAAGACCTGCTGATGAATGAGAGCCAGTGTTCCTCCTCCTCCTCCTTCTCTCTGCTGCGCTGTTGGAGCGATGGGAGTGATAGACTGATTATGTGCTTCACCACACAGCTCAACACTGAAGTCTAGAACAATTGAAATAAGATATTGCAACGAGGGAAAACATTATTAAACAGACACACATTCAAACACACATACTTTATACAAAACAACAGAATAGAATACAAATGAAATCCCCCAAAAATGTGATAATTAAGGAAACTAGGATGATAAATGAGAGGAAAGACAAAAAAATCAGTAATACTAATTATACATTTTTTAAATGATAGGCTTCAGACCAACAATACCACCATGCTAGTCAAAATGTAAACACACGTTTAAGCATATGTAAGGCTAAACCCCATTTAATACCCTCTTTATTTTTAAGGACCTTGCAATAATCGTGAAAAAAAGGAAAGCCACACTTAGCAGAAACAGCCACTGGCTTATAGCATTTAAATAAAAACATTAAAGTTGGGTTTTAAATGCAACACGTGTGAACAAATCTGACACCTTTTTCTCTTGTGTCCATCCCATACATCCCAGTTATAGATATTATATATTTCGTTTAGAGTAGGTTCTACATTTAATAAAGTGTCCAAAATGTGAGACAGTGCGTGAACACACAACAGGTCCTCTGTTTGCTCTGCTTGCAGTGGACCACTGTGACATGCTGAACAGCTGTCCTGAGGATGAGCCCATGACGCCAGGGGACGAAGGTCTGGACGCCGCAACGGACGAGTCTCTGCTAGAGACCAACCCCATCCAGTCCCCGCTGCAGGTCTTTGCAGGCATGGGGGGGCTGGCCCTCATCGCAGAGAGGCTGCCCATGCTCTACCCTGATGTCATTCAGCAGGTACCCTCACACAGAGATATGCTAAACAATAAAAGAACCAAGACAGTCAAGGAGGGCTTAATCTTGAACCAGTAGAGTGCGGCAGTGATGACGTATTTTGGTAGGCAGTCCCTAGGGTAGCGTCGCACGTGGTCCTTTGACACATTTTGAATTCTTTTTCGATATTTGGAATATTGTAGGAAAGAAGCTCTCAGGTGAATGCACATTTATAACACATAAACAACCACTTTTATGATTGTTGATGTGAAAAAGCAATCGACCAAATGAAAAGCTAACATAAGGCCATAAAGAAACTACAGTACGGTCACATGAATGCACGTCACCACCGCTAAGCTAAAGGAGGCTAATGTTAGTGTGGTCATGTTTAGTAGTCTTATTTATTCCCTTATTGGCAACTGCCGTTTTTAAGAAGCATAAAAGCTTCAGACATTCATGAGTGGGGTAGTTTCTGACCTTTTTTTATGTCGAGAACATAACATTTCAAATATTTTAAGCTTGATTTAAATGGAGATCTTTCTTTAGAGATCCAACCAAAAGAACGTTTAAAAATGAATAGACTTCAGGGCTCAATCCTGCACCACTCTATTGAAGCATGTTAAGAATAAACGCTTGAATTGAATGGTCATTTCATGAGATGAGTTTCATATTTCGTATTCACAGTATGTAGAGGGGACAGCCTCGTCTCCCTCAGCTTGAATTGGCTACATCATGACACTGCAAAGTTCTCGCCCTCCTCATTCTGCTGTCAGCATTGTCTCCCATAGCTCTCACCTTTGCTAACGTTCCACTCTGTCCCCAGGTGAGTGCCCCCGTAGTGCCCTCCGCTATGCAGGAGAAGCCCAAGGACAGCGACCAATTTGAGTGGGTGACCATCGAGCAGTCGGGCGAGCTGGTGTACGAGGCCCCCGAGTCCATCGCCGCTGAGCCCCCGCCAATCAACAAGCAGCAGACTCAGTCATCTTCCTCATCCTCAGCCTCAGTGCAGACCATGTCTCCCATCCCAGCCCACTCTCTGGCAGCGTTCGGCCTCTTCCTGCGCCTGCCAGGGTACGCAGAGGTGCTGCTGAAGGAGAGGAAGCATGCCCAGTGCCTGCTGCGCCTGGTGCTGGGGGTCACAGACGACGGAGAGGGCAGTAAGTCTGACCAATCAGCTGCCAGTACCATCAGAGTGTGCCTCACAAACAAATGGAGGTTTTCATGTCTGATTTGATTCTTACTTCTCTAGTCAGTTTAATATTCATCTCAAGATTCAAATGTTTTATTGTGATATACAAAATCTTAAGACCCAGACTCCTCCAACAATGCAACATAATATATATAAGACATAAAACAAAAATACAAATATTGCAAGAAATAACAAAATAGAAATAAATTAGTGCAAGAAAAAGTTGTAAAACTAATGCGCAAGTAATGCAGAAGAAGTGAAATATATACCTGTAAAATACAATAAGTTTAATTTAGCAGAGAATGCTTTAAGTGAATGCAGGAGTCTATTTACATGTACACATCATAAGATAAATAAGAACAGAATGTACAAAGATGTTGATGGGTTATTGATGTCAGAGTCTTTTTCCATCTTGTTTGGTGAGACATCAGGCCGCAGCTAGACAGACACAAACAGAATATCAATAGTGTCATTATTCAGTGGAAAGACATTGGTCATTACAAATAACAAAACAATTTCATAGCAGCATCACATTGTCTTCAGATGACCAGTAAATCAATGTTCTGCTTTGGCTTCCTCCCAGGTCACATCCTCCAGTCTCCGTCCGCCAACGTGCTGCCCACGCTGCCGTTCCATGTGCTGCGGGCGCTGTTCAGCACCACCCCTCTGACCACTGATGACGGAGTCCTGCTGCGCCGCATGGCTCTGGAGATCGGAGCAATCCACCTCATCCTGGCCTGTCTGTCAGCCCTCAGCCACCACGCTCCCCGCAACCCCAACGCCAACAGCAGCGTGTCCGAGGTACGGCCCACTGTTCAAAATAATGCATCATATTTATATAGCGCTTTTCCTAGTGCTCAAAAGGCGCGTTCACACCGCAGTACTTTTCCCACTTTAGTTCTGATATAGTTCCGAAATGTCGCGTTCACACCAAAAAGAGGGACTTTCGTGGGAGAAAAAGGTTCCCGTGTCTGATTGGCTGGGCGGAATGCAAACCACGCCCCGTCAAACTCCCAAAAACGTTTGTTAAGCCGCCATTTTATTAGCATTATTAGCATTAGCCCAGTGCAGAAACGCAGAGAGACTAATATGTCAACACAAAATAAAACATGGGAGCGTTGGAGATGAGGAGGTGTCGGCGTTCTGGCCGTTTACTCGGAAGGCTTCAGTAGAAGCTTCTGGGAGTCAGCAGCTTCTACTGAAGCCAGTCCCCAACTCCGGGGACTTCCAGCCGAGGACTTTGGGTGGCAGTATATGCCGTGAAGTTGTTTGCGGCCTGCCAGTAAACCAAAGCAGAAGAAGAAAAAGTGACGTCAGCGGCTTCATTTGCCTAATCCTCCCTCAGGGACTTATTCCGGTGTGAACGCGATCTGTACTTAGTTCATGAGAACTAAAGAGTTCTCATGAACTAAGTTCTGATGAACCTTTGTGGGAAAAGTACTGCGGTGTGAAAGCGCCTAAAGACCTTTATGGGGGGGGGGGGCTGCAGCGAACTCCCTGTCGCCCAACGTCCGGAGCTCAGTCCTGATGGGCTGCAGGGGGGGCGCAGCTAAGGTTGTTGATGGCTTTGGATGTAATGAGTGATATCATGAAGTCAATCTGGTGTTTGAAGGGTAGCCAGTGGGGGTCGTGGAGGATAGGGGTGATGTGGACGCAGTGTCGGGTGAAAGTGTGGAAGCAGACAGCAGAGTTATTCACACATACCAAGCAGCAGAATTATTCACACACAAGCCCACATACACAGACTTTAATAAGGCCAGCCATGTTCTGGAAGCTGTGTAAAGAGGGTAGCAGCATGCCTAGGGTTTGTTGTTGTTTTGGTGACACCCCTCTGTGTGACAAGCCAGAGACCTGTCACTGTGGCCGTCCATCAGCCCCCCCAGTCCAAGAGCTTCAATAAGAGCACAAATTAACAACATCAACTCCGAAACAAAAAATATGTTTTTCATCCATGTTGGCTGCTATATACTATATATTATTCATATAAAGCTAGAAAAAAATAAGCATGCTGTGATAGCTTGTCGGGAATACATTTTAATCTCCTTATTTGACGTATTACCTTTAGATATCTGAATGGAAATGTTTTCTAAGCTATCCAAGAGTCTTTCCTTTAAAGACATTCCTACATTTTTCTAATGTGAGGCTGTATAGGGAAACAACCATGAAGTTGTTTGCTTGATGTACAAATGTTTTATTTTCATGATTCCATAGTGGTGTATTTGAATGTATCTGGATACACCTTTTCAGACATGTATGTCAGAAAAGTTGAGAGCCTTTTGGATTAAATGAGCCCAATTTGAGTTATGTGTGATAGTTCCTATAGTAGACATTTCTTTGTATTCCTTGAGCGTTTTTTAAACTTGACATTGCTGTATAATTAATCTCGTGAAACTTTACAACCAAAAATGACAGACAGAGGTCAATCAAAGCGTGTATGTCTCACCCAGATGTATTGACAAAAAGAGTGTCTGGACAGTGTCTTCTATGTGGCTAATACTGTCGACTTTTGATATACCCCTGAAACTAATGAGTTTTATTCAGGGCCAGAGAATATAAACCATTTCTATTTTCCACTCCAACAATACACTGGAAAGCATTTTCCTTAAAAATAAGGGGAATTTAATACATTCTCAGAATGAGTATTCTTAAATCCCCAACCCAGAGCCATCCGTCTAACTCTAAAGGCCCAGATACACCGGCCCGAAATCGGCAGTAAATGGGAGTCGGGCCGAACATGAGCGTGGGCACGCCCTATTCGGAGTGGTGTGCGCCGCACCGTCGGGTCTTTTCTGCCGACCTGATGCCTTTTCTTGCCGATTCAACATGTTGAATCGGCGTCGGGAACACCACCAGAAGTCGGACAAAGGGATAACACTGATTGGCTGTTCAGCTAGCGAATCAGTGCATGAGAAGCGTTAACGGAAGTGAGGGAGGTAAACAAATGATTTAAAATGGAAGATGGAACACACACGGACGGCTATTTCACCTCATCGGTTTATAGAGCTCCTGTTCGTTCATGTTTTCAATGGACGAGAGTGAAAATGGAAAGAAAAACGCTATTTGTTGTTTGTTTATATAACGGAGTCTGTTCTTCTTCTCTGTCTTCCGGTTATTCTGGTTGTTGCCTCTTTTGAATGATGAATACACACTACCGCCGCCTGCTGGTAAGGAGAGTTATTGCCACTCACGCATGCGCAGTTCATACGTGCTCGGCTCGGATTTGCGGTGTGTTCCAGTGCGCGAAGTCGGCAAATACGCAGGAGAGTCCGGCGACGTAACTGTCGGCGTCGGCGACTTCTCAGGTGACTGGCCGGTGTATCTGGGCCTTAAACATTATTGTGTGTGTTGGCAGCCACAGATGTCCAGTTGTCACGGTGGTGGCACCAGTGAGGAGCAGCAGCTGTACTGGGCTAAAGGGACTGGTTTTGGTACTGGATCCACAGCCTCAGGCTGGGACGTTGAGCAGGCTCTCACCAAACAGCGGCTGGAAGAGGAACACGTCACCTGTCTGCTGCAGGTGAGTCCACTCAATGTCAGATCATTTTAAAGCCAGTTTTGAAAATAATTTGGATGGAGCCTAAACTTCTTTCAGAATTCCAACATTGTCCCAGCAATGGGGAAATGTACATTAGTACAACAGCAGAAGTATAGTGCTGATAAAGTGAAGAGAATAGACTTGCATATAAAAATAACTTAGTATGCACATGTTATCAATATTTAAAAAAACTAATACCAGATACATGTAAAGTGTGAACTTAAATGTGTCAATTAAGACAAAGTGGACATGGTTTTTTGGTAATTGGTCTAACAGTGTGTCTACATTGTTTTTCTCACCAGGTGTTAGCAAGCTACATCAACCCAGCCGGCTCCAGCAGCTGCCACAGTGCGGAGGCGTGCTCCGCAGAGACCCGAGCCTCCAACAGCTCTGCGCTGCCCGCCGTGCTGCATGAGCTGCTCTGCCAGTCCTGCCTCATCCCCGCCATGTCCTCCTACCTGCGCAACGACTCAGGTAGGCTCCATGATTTTACTAATGAAGGCCAAGACACCCAAAGCAAGAGGGAGTATTTTGACACCATGTAGTAATAACTGTCTTTGGCTGTAATTAACACTGATGAGTGTGGCTAAGAGAAAGAGCAACACACACAGACAGAGAGAGAGAGAGATTTAGAGGGAGTTTGTGTGCGATTCTGAATTATAATTAAGATTTAATTAACTTGCCAATATGCCACCAACACCCACAAATCATCTTTGTTAAGCTCGTTCGGTTTAGGAAGCATGTGTGTGAAATGAGCACAATTTGTGTGTGGTTTGATTATCTTGGATTTTAAATGCTACACCTCCTGAAAACAACACCTGATGAAGGTGAAGGGGGTCTAACTTTTCTGGGGTAAACCCTGAAATTAGGACGGTGGTAGCCCTTCAGTGCTTGGTAGCACAACATCCTAACAAATCACCACTAACAGCAGCTATATGATGGACTAGCATCGCTACTTTGCTTTCTATGATCCATTCGGTCTGAAAAATACAGCTCATGATTAGCAAACACGGCCAAGCTTCTCCTTCATTTTATACAGTCACAGCATTGCTTCTGGAAACGTTCAACAAGTGCTCAGTGCAACCATAAAAAAAGGTAAAGCCATGCGACTACACACCACCTCGCTCTTCCTATAAAGGGGGGATAAAGGGGGATCAGAAAACAAACTTGATATGGACATTCAGCCTAAGATGGCTGTAAAGTGAATAAGTTAGTCCTGTTAAGTAACAGGACAGCAGCATGCCCACTCTTTTGTGCAACATTTCATGGGGTCCTATTTTTATATTTGTTCAGATGAGTTCTTATTCTTGGGTTGTTCAGTCAAATATTTTGACCCACTGATTTCTGGTCATGATGTGAAGGGCTGCCAGATACCGGCCTTTAAGGCTGAGAGAGTGGACAGATTTTCTGGTCTTCTCTTTTAGTGATTACTGCAGGCTAGAGTTCCTGCACGGCACTCTAGTTCTGGATGACTGTAGATATAGGTTTGTATGCTCCTGTGTGTTTGTGGAAGAGATGTAGGATTTTTGCAACATGAACCAGCAGATGGAGCTACAGCATCTTAGACTAAAACTGAGGCTGTGCTTGTCTTGGTTTTAAATCACACTGAAGTAAGTCCCAGTACCATACATGTCATGAGTCCAGGCTTATAGGACACACTGTCCTATCAAAACTTTTATATTTAAACTCAAGAATAAAAGGCGTGTCTTTCCACTGTGATTAGGTTTTGTTATGTCATAGTTTGTTGTAATTGAATGTGAGCAAATTAGATTGTAATGTTTCTATCAAGAAGCAGGAGCATGGCTGTAGATTGTGTGCTGCAGCTTAGACCCCATGCTCAGGTCATTTCTTATACTCCCAGTCAGTTAGACCTCTGGTGTAAAAATGAGCTACCAGCAGAGATCTCAGTACTCATTGGGTCTCAGCAGTGTGGAGGTCAGGTCAGCCCATTGCTTATACCCTGCCTGGCCTCTGCAGGGAGCGGCTGGTTATTAGTGCTGCGCTGACTTTCTGAGTCCGGCTGCAGTGGGGCTTTACACTCCTCTTTTCACTTGTGGGCCATGTGGTAAAAATAAATCTATGCTTTTATAACTATTGTATTTGCATTTCCGGCAGTTCATGTTCAAATATAATAAGTCAAATAACCCACAATTGACTATTCTGCTTTTTCTGAAGCATTCAACCTTAGTAGAAATAATAAAAGAAGTGATTGAAAGCTTTTTTTTTTTTTTGACAAAATGTTGTTATTTTAAGATTAGGTGAAATCAACCTTAATGTTTTGCCTAACATTACTTCCAGCCATTAAGAAGAACAGTTGTGTAAACTGCACCATACAACAGCAACAAATTCATGCCCCAGTTTAAAAATAAAATCACTGTTTTTCAGGAATGCAACAATAGTTATTTGCCTTCTTTCCAGATAAGTAAAGTTAGAGGACTTTTGTAACTGTTAGGGTTATTTTTGGTGTTATAATATTGGATTAAATTATTCTGTGAAGCGGAAATAGCATCCGCTTTTCTATGTCAGTCTTTGAGCAAACTATTGATTGCAGTTCCCATTAGGATGTTGGTGTAAAAGTGAGTCAATGCAAACGTTCGAGGTACAGTCTGCGCATTGCAAGGACAAAAGCTTCCATCAAAATGTTATGGCCAAAGGAAGTCAAAGCCTCATTTAATGAGTGCCCCAGATTTCATGATCACTTTAGAATTAAATCAAAGTAATAATTTCTTCATTTTAATGGCATGTTTGTTTTGTGAAAGAAGACATAGAGACATGCCATGCTGGTTGTTAGGGAAATGGCTGTGCTGTAATGTGGATCGTGCCCATTTGCCAGTTTACAGTAGGGTCTGATGAGTGCAGTAAAAAAATAACCGTAACAAAATGAAAACGTTATGAAGTGATACGTAAATAGGAATACAGATTTGACTTAAAGAGCAACTTCCAGGTTAAAGACTAAATGTGAATAAATGTGTAGGAAAATGATGAATACACTAGATTTTCAAAAAAAGATACAGAAATATACACTACAGTGACATCTGGCGTCGCTTTTGTAAGAAATGTTCACTTCCGCATAAAAAAGCCTCGGCACGTGACCTCCCACCCGTGACGTAACATGGGGGAAACAAGGGGGAGAGCAGCCGGTGTAACGTATTAATAAACATGGATCCCAATGCTAGTTTCGACACAGAAGACACAGAAGAAGTTGAACATGAATATTCGAATGCATATGACGGACCACAACCTTATAATTATGAGCTTGCTAGGCGTCCAAGAGACCAGGAGCGGCCAAGGATTAGAATAAATAACGGCCATCGGAGAGAAATTGAGCTGTGGTGTGAGGAGAACCAGTGGAGAACTGGGCAGCTATCTTGGTGAGTGACCGGCGTTAGCTACAGAATGTTAGCTAATGTCACATCACAACATTGTGAAGTTAGCTATCATATATCAGGCTATAACTAAAGTAGCATTGATAATATAGTAACGTTACTGGCAGGACTGTTGATACTGATCCATAAAACAAACTAATGCGCAAGTATCAGCCGTATCAGGTGACTCCACGTAGAGCCGTGTACCGGAGGGGAGACGCGAGATACGGCTGATACTTGACGATCTGGCGGTGAAGGTTGTGGAGCCTCCGTTGATATGCCGTTGTAAATGGCTTGATGGAAAGCAGGTGTGTAGTCGGGAGGGTGCACAGCTGATTGCAGCAGGTGAGTGGAGGTTGAGCCGGAGCCAGGAGTGACAGCCACCATGCACACACAAACAACACAGACAGGGGGAAACAAACAAACACAAAGGAGACAGCTGGAGCAGTACAGCCACCACAGCGTGATCTAATGCAACTCCACACTACGTCTTAC